GGATATCACATTCTATTACCTTGGTACACAAGGTAACAAGTCTGACGTCTGGGACTTACTGGTATTAACAGTGAATTTTGACCCTAAACAGATTAAAAAATTGGTTGAGTTGGATGGGTTCATTGCTCCACTGGTGGCAGGTCGCAGAGTTCTCCATGGAGATATTCTGTATTAATACATCTGCATTAGAGTTCTGTATTAGACCCTTCCCCATGTAGTTTGTTAATTATTTGGATGAAAATGTAGAAGGCATCCCTGTCAAAGTACACATATGTCCTAAAGCAAGAGAGAAAGCTAATACACTGGGTGGTGGAACGAAGACTTGTTTATTTAGGAAATTTCATTTACTTGACAGAGATGATTATTATAAATGTAGAGCATTAATGGGGACATGCTAGAGCCATTCCCATTCAAGAAAGGCGAAAGGGTTTCTGCTATCACTAGAAGCCCTAATCCACTAATGAAATGCAAATAAAATCAAGAGGTATAACGGCTGAAAGGAACCTACAGAATCACTATTGTTTGCTTAGTATGCAATTATCTACCCAGAAACTTGGAAAATCAATTTAAAGATTATTTGAATTAATTAGCTTTTGATAAGGTAGCTGGATACAAGATAAATAAGCAAAAACTAACAGATTCCCTACATACCAATAATAAGCAATTAGAAATGCAAAGAGGGAATAAACTTAACAAGAAAGACAACACCTATATGTTGAAAACTCTAAAACTATATTGAAGAACTTAAAACTAAGTAAAAGGAGAGCTATATATCACTGGTTGAGAACAATAATCAATATTATATAGATGTCACTTCTCTCCAAATTAATCTATAAATTCAATATAATTCTATTAAAAATCTCAATATCTACTTTTTAGGAGTAAGTTGATTATAAAACACATCTGGAAGAATCTGGGCATGAGAATAATAAAACATTCTAAAAGAAGATTAATAAATAACTTGCTTGGTATCAATCTCTAGTGTTTAAAAAAATGAAAAAAAAGAAAAAAATAACTTGCACTTCTAGACATCAGAATGTATTCTAAAGTTAAAGTAATGAGGATGTGGTTCTTGGGTAAGAATAGATAAATGCAAAAGAACAGACTAGAAAGTTCAGAAATAGACTCGTGTATATGGGATATTCAAATTGGTTTGGTACAATTCGTTATCCAATTGTTAAAAAAATTTAGATCTCTATAAAAAAGTTTACATAAAAGAGTAAATCCCAAAATGGATAAAATATGTAAAAGTAAAAACAGTGAAACTATAAATATGTTAGAATCAATTATATGAGAACTTTTTATAATACTGAAATGAGGAAGTCCTTTCCAAGTATGATACGAAACCTTAAAATTATAACTTTCATGTGGTGACAGTCACCAGGAACACAAGCAAATAACAGACTGGGAGAAAATGTTGGTACCTTATATTACAAACAGTTAATATTACTAGCATGGTCTAATAAATACATTTTTAAAATAAAAATAATCTAGTAAAACAGTGGGCACAGAATATCAACAGATAATTCAGAGTAAGAAATTCAAATGGCTAATAAAGATATGAAAATATTTTCAACCTCACCAGTAATCAATAAGATAGAAAATAAAGAATAATTAGATACCGCTTTTAGCTTAACAGATTAGCAAACTTTAAATAGATGATAATCATGGACACTTTCATATACTGTTGATGAGAATATAAATTGGTACAGCCTTTTCAGAAATTTTTATAGGGGCTAACAATATTTTAAATTTTTACCTCTTTGACCAAGCAATCCCACTGGCAAAAATCCATTCCTGAGAAATACTAGTACAAGTGAATAAGGATATGGATATTCATTTCAACATTGCTTATGTTTACAAAAATAAATTAGGTTATTGAAATAACCTAAATATCCATCAGGGGAAATAAATTATAGTTATCTAAACTATATTAGAATACTTAGTATATTAGAAACTAAGCAGTCATTTAAAAGAATGTTGTAGATATACATGTGGAAAGAGGGCTATGACAAGTAAAAGAAACAAGTTTTAGAATAATATATAATAAAATGCTATGTATATTTATTTAAAAGTATCACAAGTATAAAGTACACAAATTTAAAGTACTTAAAAAGAAAGAAAAAAAGGCATCACAAGTATATAAAAAACTGTGTATGTGTAGTTTGTATATGCACACACGCATAAAATCTTCACTCAATGGAACAACAAACTAATAACACTATCTTCAGTGAGAGTTGGATGGGCTGCTGGGAATTTTGAATTTTTACTTTATATTTCTGTATTGTTTGACTTTAACAATTATGTGTCAATTCTTTGACTAAGAAAGGTAATTTTTGGCCAGTCACAGTGGCTCATGTGTGTAATCTTAGCACTCTGGGAGGCTGAGGCAGGAGGATCTCTTGGAGGTTGCAGTGAGCTACCATGATGCCAATTCCTGGGCTTGAGCAATCCTCCTGCCTCATCCTCCCGAGTAGCTAAGACTACAGGGTGTGCCACTACACCTGGCTAATTTTTTTGAGAACTTTTGCTATCTACTGTAATTTGGTTCTAATTCAGTAGTTTTAGAAAATATGAATTTGTGATTCATTAAAATGAATTAATGATTTAAATAAGAAATTTTTGTTGAGTTAATGATTCAGTGAAAAATTGATATATGAAATCAGTGTAATAAATTATAGTGGTTTGTTGATGTTTTAGTTCCTGATTATAGTACATTATTTTTATAGGTAATTGAAAGAAACAGAGTCATATTGGCTAAAAGACTTTACCTTAATGAAAAAGGCTGGAATAAATACACCAAGCATTTCATCATACTGCTTTCAACTAAGGTAAAGCTCAATTCATTTAAGTTATGGGAAGAAAGACTCCAAATGTTGGGGGTTGAGACTGTAAGAAATCTTTGCTAAATTTACAGATTTTTAAACATGGCTTTATGCTTGTGCTTTATTGTGGGCAGAATGAAAAATCTAAGGAAAGGTGAATAAAGGCTCTCAATTCCTTATATTTGTTTTCTACCCTAATGAAAACAATTTATCAACATTACAAAGTTGTTCATAGAATCATGGTCATAGTGCTTAGACTAAAGAAAAGTGAAGTAGCTATGTTATTGATAGTTGCATTATTGATGCATTCTATGCAATTTTATGGGAAAATTCAGTGAACACACCAGGGAAGAAAAGGAGGGAACTGGCATCTGGTGTGCTTCTACTGAGTCAAGCTGTGTACGCTAGTCATTGCATTTAATTCTGAAAACAGTCCTATCTGTGAGATCGGCATTAAGTTCTTCACTTTATGGATAATAGAAATCAGTGACAAATAGATTAAGTAATGTCGCCCAGGGTTACACAGCCAGTAATGGGTGAGATTGACATCTGGTTCCATTGGGCTTCATGGTTCCTGTTCTTTGCACTGCACACTGCGTGGCTCCCGTGAAAGTCCCGTGGGGAATCGGGTTTGTGTTGCAAAGGGAAAGTCTTGTCCCCAGTACTTTGTGTACCTGGGAAAAACCATCCCCAAATGAACTGTGTAGTAGTGTCACTGATGATATTTCGGAAGAGCAATATCTTCAATTTTTTGATCATTTTCTTATGGACTTCTGTTACTACAATATTAGTAATGGCCTGGTATATGTTAACGAATACTTATTGCATAAGTTAAACAAATGAGTTGTTTGAGTCCATGCCTTTTATCCAGGACACTGCAGACCTCGCCCTGTTGCAGAAGTTGATGCAAAGATGGAGAAGCTCGGTGAATAAATTTAAACAGGAAATAGAACACACTGAAGAGACTACAAAGGAGACGCTGCAAATGGTCAAGGACAGCCTCATCAAATGGCAGCAGTTCTTCAGGAATCATAAATGGATCCCAAAGTATTTTGTTTTTCTGATGATATTATATCACGTCTGATAACTCAGTCCAATTCTGTTTCTCTCTTTTACCTTACGATCACACTAACATCGATCTGGGGGAGGTAATCAGCAGTCCTGACAAAGGCACAATCCTGAAAAGGATCTTGAATAGTCTGGTGGTTTCTAGTGCTTGGTATCTCTGGACTCCATCCTGACCTCCCCCCATCCCGCTGCTGCTGCCTCCGTTTGAGTCCAACTTTTTCTTGTCTTTTCTCTCTTTTAAAAATAAAACCAACTTATGTCATTAGTATTGGCAGACTTGAGTATCTGGATCCATCTGCAAATTCATGTGCAGAGAAGTGAAACCCGTGGGTGGCAGTTTCGGGGAGAGTGATTTTGATGGTTATTATGCTTTGTACTGATTAGAGAAACCTGACAGTGGAAGAAGCTTCTAATAAAGTAGTTAAGTTGAGGCCAAATACCTAAATCGCAGCCAAGGTTAGTGGGAATCTATACTTTGGATGCAGCCTGGACTAGCTGATTTCTAAGGTTCTTTTAGACTTCAGTATACTTTGTTGAGGAGACACATTCGGGTGCTATTTCCATTTCAAATTGAGAACAATGGTTTCATTTTTTCTTACCCCATGAAGGGTTCCCAGTTAGTAGGTCTGGACGTTCTGGAAGCTGAAGCTGGTACATCCAGCTGTTTGCTGCTGCCGTGTGCCCATCGTTTGTTGGCGCTTAGCTGGGTGGGGAGCACAGGTAGCCGTGGTTCTCTTCTCTCTTTCTCTCCAGGAACTTCTTTATCAACGGCTTTCGCCTTTTGAAACTTCATAGACAATAAAGGAAACTCGTACCAGAGTTGGGACTCTTGACTTAAAAGTTGAGCCTTAATTACTCAGTAGGCTTTCCTTCTATTTACGTGTTGTTTTGGGAACTGTATTTAACAGGAATTCTCAGGATGATCTAGTTTTGAATTCTCAGGACTCAGAGACCACTCTTAAAAAAAATACCATCATGGCCCATGGCCCTGTGGCTTGGTTACTCAGGTCTAATTGAAGCCTGAATTTATAATTTTAAAGATAAATACCTATGGAGAGAGGGGCTGGACCTGGAACGCATGCTTGAAAATCATTGAGGAGAAACATAATACTAATTGTTTAGTGTATGGATTTAAGGTTTTCTTTGTTTATACCTTGTCATGAAACCTTTCTCTTGTTCTCTTTTCTTCTTTCAGTGGAAGAGGCAGTTTATCCCCTAATAGGAGACATACATTCGATTCAGTTCTTTTAGACTTCAAGCAGTGGCAAAAAGTAAGACTTTCTATTAGTAATGAACGGCTCGGTAATCACAGTGCTGGTTGGGAACTTGGCATTCCTTCCTACAACTGAGGCGTATCTCATCCTTTAAAAAATTCCATATAAATATTTATGAAAGGCAAGGAAAACAGCAAGACCATGGGGGCTTTTTAAAATAGGCTTCAGTTTTTTCATTTCTATTTCAAATTTTAGGGCCAAATAAAGTTAGGCTGCTAGAAAAGAAATTGGGAAAAGATAGTTGAGTGGCAGCGAGGGTAGTTCTGACTCTCTTATCTAATTGTCAGACATAAGTCACATTTGCGCCTCTCCTGTGTCTGGCTTTTGTTTTAAGGACAAATTGGACTTTTAAAATTAATAACGTCTTTTTTATTGTGGTAAAATATATATGACATAAATTTTACCTTTTTACTATTTTAAAATGTACAGTTCAGTAGCATTAAATACATTCACACTGATGTACGACCATGACCACCATCCATCTCCAGAACTTCTCCATCTTCCCCAGCGGAAGCTCCGTGCTCGTTAAGTAGTAACTGCCCATTTCTGCCTCTTCCTAATCCCCGGCAACTTTATTCTACTTTCCGTCTGTGAATTTGACTACTCGAGGCACCTCATATAAGTGGAATCATACGTATTTTCCTTTTGTGGCTGGCTTATTTTCCTCGGCATAATGTCCTCA